TGGTCAGACAGGCTGGTGTGCTTCTTCCATGTGGGCTTTAATGTTTCTCAGCTGGATGGCCGCTTGTTTATCTTTAAGCCTTTAAGACCCCAGATGTGATATCTTTTGGTAGCTGGGCACCATCAGCTTTCTTCACCACATTTGCTTATGTTCACATTTTTCTTCAGCAATCGTGTTGGGAAGGTGTGCATCCTGGAATACCAATTTAATTGAACGTGTTCTTGCATTAAGTAAGTGCTTGAGTGGAGGCCCAATGTCCACCTGCTGCCTTAATGCAAAACCTATAAATATATGCTTGTAGATATGTTTCCCATTATCTCTTATTTTATATTTTCTTACTTTCTAATAGACTGACTTTTGTTCTGTTTAGAAGATAAATAATGCATTTTTATTATTATAGTGGTAACCAGAAAATGCAGACTTGACTTCACATGCCAGTAAAGAAACAAGCAAAGAAAAATCTTTCTGAGAAACAGACTTTAAAGTGGGTGAGTCCTTTCCATTGTAGATGTTATCGTTGTATCGTTAGATAAACATTGGAACTTCTCATCCTGTAATTCTTTCCCCCACTTATTCCTTTACATTTATAGCTTCGGTTTCCATATCTTTAACTCTCTATTTCGTTGGGGTCATTTCCTGAGACTTACCTTCAAGTTGACTAGATTTCTCCTCGGTTGTAACACGTTCAGCCAGTGGGTACATGTGTTTTCAGTCTCTCCTTTCTTTAAAGAAGCAACTATTTGGAGGCCCTTTCTGCATTCTGGGGTGTCTCAGTCCCAGCTCCATACCCAGTGCAATGCTAAGTCACTCCTAATAATTGGGCATTAAATACTACATCTCCTAAGTTCTGAGATTGACTACCCTCCACATTACCTGCAACACAGATCATGGAAACATTAGCTTACTAACATCATTTTGTGGTTTTCATTTGCCTCTTCACTTACAGCATTATATTACAATAACTTATATTCCATCCCACATTTTCATGTACAACAGTAAGGATGCGATCATTGGTCCATAGCAACACCTCTCCTCAGCCAGCAACCAAGTCTCCTTCTGGTGGTCACATAGCCTCTCAGCCACATTGTCTCTTGACATCTGCTTTTCTGGACCAGGAAGTCTACCTGTCACTCTGTCTCACAGTCCCATAGTTTCAACACTGCTCCTCTTGCTTTGGCCCATAGTCTCCATGCCACAGTCTCTGGTGCCTTGGGGCTCAATCTCTGCCACTTCAGACAGACTTAGAAAGTACTGTTTTGATGGTCCTGGGCTTTCTCTCCCTCCTGCTACCCTAAAGATGACTCAGCCTTATGACTGAGGGCTGGGGGCAATGGGGGTAGAAGTGATGTGGGTGATGGTGGAGATAGTAACAAAAGTCTTCAATCCACTCGATTGGTGTTACACATACCGTAATTGCATAGTCCCATGCCATCATTTGGTGGGAGTTAGAAGGACTTAAGTAGAAGAACCATATTGAGGAATCTCACTCCACACAGTCATATGTGGGTCTGCACACCAATCTTCTACTATAGCTTATAAATGAGTCAGTGAGTCACTATAGTGATATATAAATAAATAAAACATAAATATACAAAAATGAATAGGCTATGGATCTACTGATTATGTATGCACTCAGAAAGTCTTTTTAAAATAGCAGTAAGGGAAAACTACTACGCTGAATCTTCTAAAACTCAATTTGGGATAAAATCAAACCTGGTTCTGAGTCTGAGTTCTCTCTTGGAACATCATCATAAATCGCTTCTTCTGGATCTGGAATAAATGGGGAGAAAAGGTCAAAACTTGGCCACACTCAGCCTGCTCACTTGAAAATTTAAAAGACAATAACATTATCACTATCACTCATGGTACCTTACCAAAACAAACATCATTTTCTAGGGCAGAATATTTCTTTGGGGGAATGGGGAGTATCACTCTAATTTGACCAACTTGAAAATATCACTGAAAGGTGACTTTTCCTGTTTTTTTTCAGCGAAATTTATTCCCTAGTGCATTCAATGAAGCCCTCCATACAAAGACGCTGCCCAGAATTTCAGAAAAGGAGGGAGAGCTCAGCTGAGGTTGTACAAATGGGAAAAGACCAACGTGCAGTGAGCCTTTAAACCACACGATAGGAAAAGGGGTCACTGCACACATAACACGTTAACATCTTAGGACAAAATCTCTTAAACTGTATGATGTGGGATATTAGTGTCATGTGAAATTGGAACAGGTTTCCTTAAAGAAAGAAATAAGCGCAGGGAGGGGAATTTCCAGGAGAAAAACTTTTAGCATGCGTTGTAGAAGATAATTATATAAAAGCATAGTAAAAAAATCTGAATTCCTGTTTAAATATTTGTGAAGAATATGTTTGGGGAAGTAAGTTTCTTTAAAAGGTCTTTTAAATTACCTTTCCAAAGTATCCATTTACTGGTGTTACCCTGGCCACTGGAGAATCTCTAAACTACAATGAGTTATTACTAGAAACCACAAGAACAATCCACTATTGAACAACCAATGGAGGAAAATGAGATAAATAAAAGTGAACATCCCAGGACATCAAGCAGCATCGCCAGAGGGAAAGCACGCACATTCAAGAGCAACCCCATACTCTCTTCCTGCTCTCCAGCCCCCGTTATGGATCTGCTTTATTTTAATAATTCTTATTAACTGCAACCATAGTGATTCTACCACTATTAGATGATGGTGTTAAGATGGTTAAATTTGCAGGATTTACATACAGTCGTTCTAATTGACTGTCATCTGGATAATAAAAATGAGCAATGGAAGAAATTTACACAAGTTTTGCTTTAAAAACAGAACTGCTAGAGAATAAGAAGCCAGTAATTTAATCCTGTAATGATCCTGATGTAATAGCCCCTTAGCAGAATCAGCTAATTATCCTTAGTTCTTTGTTTTGGCAATGACATAATTAAAATCATAATGAACCATCCCAGGAGATAATTTAACAAATAGGAGAGAGCTATGATGGCTCTACCTTGTAAGTCAATCATGTAATTACACATAGTGAGTCAGTCAATGATAAAAGGGGTAATTAGGAAAGAGACTTTTCCTTTTTCTTAAAAATTAAATCTGGTTAAAAATGTTTAGCCTGGTATACTACCAGGTCAATGGGTTGCCTTAACCAACCACATCCTTCCCCCTCAAAAATGGTACCATGCAAAAGCATCTCATTGAGGAAAACAGGAGAGAACACTTTGTTAATGTCTCAGTAATGACTCCCTGATTGTGAGATGGAAATCAAAGTACAATTACTCAAAACTGTAATTTACTAGAAAGAAGCAATCAGGAAGAGAGACACAGTTAGATGGATAGAGCTAAGGTAATATGAAATGAAGCAACAGGTTCATAAAGCCCTCAGAAAACACTTGCAGATCCTGGTTCTGGTAACATTCTAAGTAAATCACTATGCTTTTGAAGTTTCAGATATGATATAGCACATGACACTAATGAGCACCACCTGAAGGAAAGACACAGCATCGCTCTGTTGGCAAGTGTTCGTAGTGAGCTGGACGAGGATCCGGTGGTGGTACATCAGCACTCCTGCTCAGTGGTACTTACTTTCCATCCAAGCTGTATTGGCAGGATCTGCAACCCATTGGGCCAGGGCACTGCCTTCTTTATTGATTGGATCTTCACTTAAGGAAAACAAAGGACAAAATCAGTATGTTGACAGGCATTCCAATCTTTAGGTTGCTGAATGCCCTCTGAGGTACAGTGAAACTCTGAGAGATGGAACTTGATGGTACTGCATTAATTATTTGGGATTCTTCAAGTTTTTTTGCCTTTGACAGAGGGAATACTATCACTCATTAACTTAGAGTTCTATCTCATTCTAGTTCAAAGTTTCCTTCTATGACAGGTTTCTGCCTTAGCCAGGGTTCCATCGGTCGCAGGTGTTAGTGTATATATGGAGGTACAAAAAAAACCATGACTACATGGAAACCTTTATTGAACAAAAATATAAATTTATGGTTTCCCAGTGTTTTCCATCTAGATCCACACACCTATGAAGATAGAGTTTCCATCTGTCTAATCCTTCCTGGAAGAATTCTGTACTCTGAAATTGAGGTTTGGCAACAAAAAAAAGTCTGAAGTAGAAAAATCAGGGCAATAGGGCGAATGGGGAAGAGATGACCACTGAAATTCGGAGAACAGCCCTTGTTACATCTGAAGATCAGCAAATGCACTGTGGTGATGGGGAAACTTCCTCATAAACGCCCCCCCCCCCCCCCCCCCCCCCCGGCTGTTTTCTCACCAATGTGGTTTTCCACATTGAAGGATAGGTGGAGGGAAAGGTAGTGGTGTTAACAAACCCAGGGACAAGGGAACAACAAGTCATCCAAATTGGTGGTGAGGTGGGTGTGGGAGGCCTGGTAGGGCATGATCAAGGGTTAATGATCAAGGGTAATGAAACAAAGAGGAATTGCTGAAACCCTGGTGGGGACTGAGCATGATAAAAAAGGGAAATAGAGGAAAGAGCTGGGAGGCAAAGGGCATTTATAGAGGTCTAGATAAAGACATGTACATATGCAAATATATTTATATATGAGAAT